AAGGGGCGACCATTGGAAAAATTTCACTGTTCAAAAAAGTCGTCTAAAAATTGCGAAAAAATTCAGGGACGTAGATTTCGACATGCTGGTTCCAAAAATATAACATGTTGATGGTCACGGACGAACATTTTCGAAAGAATCGGTACGAAATGCGGATTTTTGACAATTTCTATAAATTTCGATATTTCAACGGTCGATTCCGGAAAAACGGTTAGAGTCATCAAAGAATCGAGGCCGGAAATGAGTTCTAGAGCTCGAAATCTACAAGAAAATGTGTTTAGTTAAGTTTCGAAAATGTCAAAAATTGGCCGAAATTTGAAGAAGGGGGGACCATTGGAAAAATTTCACTGTTCAAAAAAGTCGTCTAAAAATTGCGAAAAAATTCAGAGACGTAGATCTCGACATGCTGATTCCAAAAATGTAGCATGTTGATGGTCACGGACGAACATTTTCGAAAGAATCGGTACGAAATGCGAATTTTTGACAATTTCTATAAATTTCGATATTTCAACGGTCGATTCCGGAAAAACGGTTGCAGTCATCAAAGAATTGAGGCCGGAAATGAGTTCTAGAGCCCGAAATCTACAAGAAAATGTGTTTAGTTAAGTTTCGAAAATGTCAAAAATTGGCCGAAATTTGAAGAAGGGGGGACCATTGGAAAAATTTCACTGTTCAAAAAAATCGTCTAAAAATTGCGAAAAAATTCAGAGACGTAGATCCCGACATGCTGATTCCAAAAATGTAGCATGTTGATGGTCACGGACGAACATTTTCGAAAGAATCGGTACGAAATGCGAATTTTTGACAATTTCTATAAATTTCGATATTTCAACGGTCGATTCCGGAAAAACGGTTGCAGTCATCAAAGAATCCAGGCCGGAAATGAGTTCTAGAGCTCGAAATCTTCAAGAAAATGTGTTTAGTTAAGTTTCGAAAATGTCAAAAATTGGCCGAAATTTGAAGAAGGTGGGACCATTGGAAAAATTTCACTGTTCAAAAAAGTCGTCTAAAAATTGCGAAAAAATTCAGGGACGTAGATTTCGACATGCTGATTCCAAAAATATAACATGTTGATGGTCACGGACGAACGTTTTCGAAAGAATCGGTACGAAATGCGGATTTTTGACAATTTCTAAAAATTTCGATGTTTCAGAAATCGATTCCGGAAAAATGGTTGCAGTCATCAAAGAATCGAGGCCGGAAATGAGTTCTAGAGCTCGAAATCTACAAGAAAATGTGTTTAGTTAAGTTTCGAAAATGTCAAAAATTGGCCGAAATTTGAAGAAGGGGGGACCATTGGGAAAATTTCACTGTTCAAAAAAGTCGTCTAAAAATTACGAAAAAATTCAGGGACGTAGATTTCGACATGCTGATTCCAAAAATATAATATGTTGATGGTCACGGACGAACGTTTTTGAAAGAATCGGTACGAAATGTGGATTTTTTACAATTTCTAAAAATTTCGATATTTCAAAGGTCGATTCCGGAAAAACGGTTGCAGTCATCAAAGAATCGAGGCCGGAAATGAGTTCTAGAGCTCGAAATCTACAAGAAAATGTGTTTAGTTAAGTTTCGAAAATGTCAAAAATTGGCCGAAATTTGAAGAAGGGGGGACCATTGGAAAAATTTCACTGTTCAAAAAAATCGTCTAAAAATTGCGAAAAAATTCAGAGACGTAGATCCCGACATGCTGATTCCAAAAATGTAGCATGTTGATGGTCACGGACGAACATTTTCGAAAGAATCGGTACGAAATGCGAATTTTTGACAATTTCTATAAATTTCGATATTTCAACGGTCGATTCCGGAAAAACGGTTGCAGTCATCAAAGAATCGAGGCCGGAAATGAGTTCTAGAGCTCGAAATCTACAAGAAAATGTGTTTAGTTAAGTTTCGAAAATGTCAAAAATTGGCCGAAATTTGAAGAAGGGGGGACCATTGGAAAAATTTCACTGTTCAAAAAAGTCGTCAAAAAATTGCGAAAAAATTCAGGGAAGTCGATCTCGACATCCTGATTCCAAAAATGTAGCATGTTGATGGTTACGGATGAACGTTTTCGAAAGAATCGTTACAAAATGCGGATTTTTGACAATTTCTAAAAATTTCGATATTTTAACTGTCGATTCCGGAAAAACGGTTACAGTCATCAAAGAATCGAGGCCGGAAATGAGTTCTAGAGCTCGAAATCTACAAGAAAATGTGTTTAGTTAAGTTTCGATAATGTCAAAAATTCGCCGAAATTTGAAGAAGGGGGGACCATTGGAAAAATTTCACTGTTCAAAAAAGTCGTCTAAAAATTGCGAAAAAATTCAGAGACGTAGATCTCGACATGCTGATTCCAAAAATATAACATGTTGATGGTCACGGACGAACATTTTCGAAAGAATCGGTACGAAATGCGGATTTTTGACAATTTCTATAAATTTCGATATTTCAACGGTCGATTCCGGAAAAACGGTTGCAGTCATCAAAAAATCGAGGCCGGAAATGGGTTCTAGAGCTCGAAATCTACAAGAAAATGTGTTTAGTTAAGTTTCGAAAATGTCAAAAATTGGCCGAAATTTGAAGAAGGGGGGACCATTGGAAAAATTTCACTGTTCAAAAAAATCGTCTAAAAATTGCGAAAAAATTCAGAGACGTAGATCCCGACATGCTGATTCCAAAAATGTAGCATGTTGATGGTCACGGACGAACATTTTCGAAAGAATCGGTACGAAATGCGGATTTTTGACAATTTCTATAAATTTCGATATTTCAAAAGTCGATTCCGGAAAAATGGTTGCAGTCATCAAAGAATCGAGGCCAGAAATGACATCTAGAGCTCGAAATCCACAAGAAAATGTGTTTAGTTAAGTTTCAAAAATGTCAAAAATTGCCGAAATTTGATGAAGGGGGGACCATTGGAAAAATTTCACTGTTCAAAAAAGTCGTCTAAAAATTGTGTAAAAATTCAGGGACGTAGATCTCGAAATGCTGATTCCAAAATTATAGCATGTTGATGGTCACGGACGAACGTTTTCGAAAGAATCGTTTCGAAATGCGGATTTTTGACAATTTCTAAAAATTAAGATATTTCAGCGGTCGATTCCGGAAGAACGGGTGCAGTAATCAAAGAAACAAAACCCGAAGTGAGTTCTAGAGTTCGAAATCTACAAGAAAATGTATTTAGTTAACTGTCGAAAATCGTCGAGAAAGGGTGGAAATTTGCATAAGGGATACCTAATACATAATGAAAATTTGCGTTTTTGAAAGTCATTTTAAAATTCTTTATTTTGTAGATTAGTGAACCACCAAAGAACCTTTGCAATTAAAATTAAATAAAAAAAAAATGTGTCTCACTTTTCTTGCATGAATTCTTAATCACATAATTCTTACATGAGTTTATAATTAATTAACCTAAAATTGCACTTTTTTAGGAATGAGAGGGAAAATTAGTATCTAAGCTGATTTTTGCATTTTTTTTTTTATTAACAAAACTGCTAAATGTATAAGAAAATACCTATATATCTACAATTCTGTCAGTCTCTTCCAGAAATCATCTACAAGTTTGTCCACCGACTAACTTGATCAGAGTGATCTGATCCCACCCGACCCATCAATAATTACATTTTAAGTTCTAAAATTGTTATAATTTGTTCTAATAAAACAAAGTTTCTATTGTACGCATTTTTATTACAGTTTTCAGAACCTGAAATCCGCTTTGTGAATACAGGTAGTTCTAGTGACACAGAAAATCCATCATTTCCTTATTTATTTGACTAAATTCGTTGTGGCTATTTTCAAAATGCTTACACATCTAGAAATTTTAATGAGTGTAAATTGCAAAATTGATATAATAAAATAAACTCCGGTAAAATTCTTTGAGAAATATGCACTCAGAAGAAATGTGCAAAACAGCTGAAATATGCAAAACAACCAAAACGACTTCCATGTCGCGTTTAATTACCACATTTCGTGGAGATCTTGAAGAATTTGGTTGCAATGTTAATTTTCAATTCGATATGCAAATTAATATGCGTTGAGAACTTTGCAAGTTTAACAGTTTTCGTTTTTCGTAATTTCTGTCTTGTCTACTGTGTTACACTGGAACTTTTAAACGAAAATTCTATAACGCTGTTTTTGTGTCGTAAATTGTGGTGTTGGTTGATGTTTAAAAATACAGTTCGTTCGTCTTGTCCAATTGGAAATATAATCTCTCAAAAATAAAAAGTTAATATTATTTAAGGAAGAACCAAATCTGCGAATATTCTCCTTATTCATATTTTAATCCTATTATCTTTTTGTCAAATTTGCCAGTCCGAAAAAGCTTGCACAACGTGACTGTGCACACCAATAAATAAATGATTGAATAGATTTTTCTTTCCTATTTCACCACAGTATGAAAACCACTAATGACAAGTAAAAAATGTCGAAATGATCTTTCTCTCGATCCCCCGCCTCATTTAGCACCGTCTTCCCCTACTAACGGTACAAACAAAACACATCAAATAGCGTTTTTGAATCTGCTCTCGTTTTTATCTCCATCCATGAAAAATTTCGCTGAAACGCTACGACCTGGCCTAGCATTGAGGTCACCACTCGAAATATCCCGCAATCTCTAGCCCGTCGATAAGCCATTTAGATACCACCAAACTACCACGAACGATAATGGTAATTTTTGTTGTTTTCGTAGAATAAACAGTAGATAAGTCCCAAAATGCAACTGCAACGCAAACCCCCATCCCGCCTTCTCATTGGCTGCTGCCCAACCACCGGTGGGGTTGCATTCCAACATGTTGCAGCGAAAAGTAGTTCCTGCTTATTTTCTCACGGACTTTTCTCGGTAACGCGCCGCTCCCGCGCACCCAAACCGCCACAGCGCGTCGTCCCGCCTCTAATATACCCGTCGCCGCCACACCGGGGGCGGCAAGCCGCCGAATCCCGCAGCTGTGCCACCATTTAGCGCGAGATCGCCGGCGTAGGAATACAAAAGCGCTCCGGCTGCCATCTTGGCGCGTCTTAAACAAAGCCCCCTCTCAGAACGGAGTGTGCTGTGGACGGTCGTGTACGAGTGCGGATTTTCAGCGCTGAAAAGTGGTATTTTTCAATGAAAAACACTGGAAGAGTGCTGATTTTTCGGCGGAAAATGTGCCCCGCATAGTGCTTGGTGTATTCGGTGGTTTGAGTGATTCAGATGAGATGTGTTGAGTGCCCCATGAGGGAAGTTACAATAAAATGTGGATTACTAACAGGAAGGATTATGATTTACGGATTATAGTGTCTTCCTTGGGACTTCTCTTCTTGGTTCACGCAGCAACAGGTGAGTGCTACTTGTTGAGGAACAGCCATTAAGCCCGTCTGGGAGAATACTTAAGTAAACACCCGGTGCATACGACGAGCCGCCGGTTGCAGGGGTGGCAACCGAAAGTCCACAAACTTGACTGAAAAACACACTTTTCACTGTGATACACGTTATAGAATTATTAGTTTTTCGAAAACGGGGGCTAGTAGGCTGGGAAAAGAAAATTTTGACGTTTGAGCTGATCAAAATGGCGCCGCTGCAAGAATTTTGTCTTGAGACTAGATTACTAGATTCCTGGAGTGGAATTCTACTTCTACCATCTATCAAATCAGTGAACTTCCAAGTCTGGTAAATATTACCATGAAAACTTTGTGGAATCCAAATCCAATTTGCTGCGGTTAAAGTCAATTCGGTTGTCTAAATTTTTCAGTTAATTTGATAGTGGGTACCCTATTTCAAAGTAACGACTTTTATTTAAACTTTTATCAGTGTTTATAATTCGCGTAGTTTAAATTTTATCGCTTCCCGTAACTTCCTTACACGCGAATAATAATATTTATCTGCCACCATAACGTAATGACAACATTGTGACGCACTTTCATTGTCCAAATGTCATAACTAATAAATTAATTAAAACAAATCAAGTTAAGTCAAAGTAAAATTTTGCCATTTTGATTAATTTCCATTAATTACGTTGAACATCATGAAGCTGAATGCTCATTTTCGTCCATAGTTTTCGTCCACACTTTTCTCCTCTAAAACAATGACCAGTATATTCCTCCAATGTTCGTAATATCAGTTTTCTAAAGCAACACTTAAATAACGCTGACGGTAAAAACTTTGATTACATTGCTAATAGAAACGTGATTAAAATTCAAGTAACCGATTTTTTGTACAAAAAGTTGAAACCAGTGCCGCTGTTTCAACAAAGAAAATTGCAGTCTCACTTGCAAATCTGTTTTTACACATCTTTAATTATTAGTTGCGATAATCCCGGAGAATCGAAGAAAAAACCGATCGGTTTATGCCAAGCTGTTACGAAGATATTTTTAATAATTTTGATTTGAAAAGCTCTATGAAGAAATTTTAGAAAAAAAAGGTGATCCACTATCGGAAACTAGTCTGTCTTTATAGACTTGTGTCAAAAATTGTTAACTATTTATAAACACAAAATTATTTCTCGTGTGGTAAAACAATAAGTTTTCACACATGACGCATCAAAGATTTTGTTATTTTGATAAAGTTAAATAAAAAAATCGTATTATCTCTATTTCTGTTGCGCAATATGTTTTTGAACGATTTGCATTAACTTGATACTGTAATGATTTTTTTTAAATTTGCTTGCACTTGGCATTGTTGAAAGTGCGCAGTTAGATTTCTATTTTGGAGTAATCAAGTAAGCGCTGAATCTGTCAAATTGGATATTAATATAAAATAACCATTAGAAATTTCGTTCGACAGTTCCAGTATAGTCGTTATTTTAACAAGGCGGCAAAACTCAGTGCCGACTTCGACCCGTCAATTATTTAGAGATTACTGACTTTTACTTCCGGAGCATAAGCGTATATTTTCGATGTCCCCCGTTTCCGTCTACCTGTCTGTCCGCCGTCTGTGTCGATTTTTGTTAGACAGATAATCTCCGAAACTCCGGGACTGAATGCAGTTGCTTTTAGAGCTGAAAATTGTCATTTATAAACTCCGTCGCCAAGTTGCCGTTGATACTAACTTCGATGTTCAACTTTTGCCGTATTTAAAGGGGTTGTAGAGGAAAATTGGAGGATTTACGTTGATTACTACAAAAATTTGCCATTTTAGATATGTTTTAAGTTTCTTGTGGTCGAAATAAGTCTACACATATTAAAACAAAAAGGTAAATGTAAGCCCGCCCACCCACCCTATCTCAATTGTGATGATTTTTTTTATTCGTCGTGAGCCAAGAAGGTGGAGCTTAACTGCAAAATCCTTATTTCTTTACGTGAAATTAAAAACATGTTTTTGAGTATCGTGTTATTCAAAGAATGTTATGTATATTAAGAAAAAAATAAGCCACGCCCATACCCGCCCCGACCTCAATTCTCAATTATGATAAATTTTTCGTTCGTTGTCAGACTAAGAGGCGGGGCTTAATTGCAAAATCCATATTTGTCTACAAGAATTTACCATTTTAAACATGTTTTAAGTTTCTTGAAAAGACGACTACGTATAGTAACAAAAAAAAGGCAAAATATAAGCCCCGCCCACCCCCCCTGTCTCGATTGTAATGATTTGATGATTTTTTTTATTCGTCGAGAGCCTAAAATTTACCATTTTAAACGTGTTTTAAGTTTCTAAGAATAAAAAAATCATCACAATTGAGATGGGGTGGGTGGGGGGGTTAAATATTTTAATTTTTTTTCTTAATATACATAATATTCTTTGAACAACACGAAACTCAAAAACATGTTTTTAATTTCTTGTAAATAATAGTATTTTGCAGTTAATAGGAAAAGGAGGCGAAGGTTTTTGGACGGAACTTACCTCGACTCGGAAGTGCAATCCACAAATAGCGCTTAGTTGGAAGATTACAAACATTTTCCAGCGAAATCCAGAAATTCAAAATTTTAAAATAAAGAAATTAAAAAATCAAAATAAATGGAAATTAGAAAAATTGTAAAAATCGAGAAACATGGGTCGCTAGAAATCGAAAATTCGAAAAATTGAAAAATTGATATACATGTTAAAAAATTTTAAACCAGGAAATTAAAACTTCAAAAAATCGTAAGATCGAAATACTGAAAAATCAAAAAAAAAATCGAAAAGTTCAAAAATCCCGTATCTGAAATGTTGAAGAATTAAAAATTGGAAAATCGAAACTTCAAAAAGCCGATTATTTAAAATTGAAAGAATAAAAAAAAAGGATATAGAAAAATTCAAGAATTGGAACATTAAAAAATCGTGAAATCCAAAAAACCAAAAATTAAAAAATTGAAAAACTGGAAAATTTAAAAATCTAAAAATTTAGAAATCGAAGTACTAAAATTTAAAAGTCGAAAATCCAAAAAATCGAGAAATTGAAAAACCCCACAACAGAAATGTCGAAAAATTGAAAAACCGAAAAATCTAAAAGCGAGTAGGCCAAATATCAAAAGAATAGAAATCGGAACATCAAAAAGGTGGAAAACCTAAAATTTGAAAAATCGAAATATTTGAATTGAAAAAAATTGAAAAATTACAATATAGAAAAATTTAAGAATCGGAACATTGAAAAATCGTGAAATCAAAACATCAAAAAACATTGAAGGATAATATATAATATAATAATATATAGGCCATCTTTTCATAACAAAAAACTTAAAACATGGTTAAAATTGTACATTTTTGCAAGGAAATATGGATTTTGCAATAATAGGTCGCATCCTAATTGCAAAATCGATATTTCCTTACACAAATTTTCCATTTTAAACATGTTTTAAGTTTCATGTTGTGCAAAGAAGTCTACACATTTTAAAATAAAAAGACAATATGTAAGCGAATAAAAAAAATCATCACAATTGAGATCGGGCGGGTGGGCGGGCTCACATTTTGCCTTTTTGTTTTAATGATGTGTAGACTTCTTTTCACAGCATGAAACTTAAAAAATGTTTAAAATGGAAAATTTGTATAAGGAAATATCAATTTTGTAATTAGGCTCCGTCCCATAATTGTAAAATCCATATTTTAACCATGTTCTAAATTTCTTGTTATGAGAAGATTGCTATGTATATTAAGAAAAAAAAAAAGGTAAAATATAAGCAACACCCACCCGCCTTGTCTCAATTCTGATGATTTTTTTTAATTCGTCGTAAACCGAGGGGTGGAGCTGAATTGTACAATCCTTATTTTTTACGAGAAATTACCATGTGAAATATGTTCTTAAGTAGTCGCGTTATACAAAGAAAAGTAAATGTATCAATTAAAAAAGAAACTCAAAAGAGAAGCCCCACCCATCCGTCTCGATCTCAATCGTACTGAATTTTTCATTCGTTGTCAGATCGAGGGGCGGAGCGTAATTGCAAAATTGATATTTCCCTATACAATTTACCATTTTAAACATGTTTTAAGTTTGTTGTTGTGAAAAAATGACTACACATATTAAGAAAAAAACGTCAAAATATAAGCCCGCCCCGCCCACCCACCCTATCTCAATTGTGATGATTTCTTTATTCGTCGTGAGCCAAGGAGGCGGCGCTTAACTACAAAATCCTTATTTCTCCAAAGAAAATAAAAAACATTTCTTTGAGTGTCGTGTTGGTCAAAGATACTATGTATATTAAGAAAAAACAAGCCAAAATTTAAGTGTAAATTTTTAATCAACATGTATCTCTTTATTTTATTAATGACTCCAGAAAATTTGGGAATACACAAAATTGTGTTAGGAAAGTTTTGTCTAAATAACGACACATTTTTCGCAAAATTCGGAGTCTGAGTGCCAAATAAGACTGGAAACTGAAGAACTAAATAACATTTTTGTGTATTTGTCCGTGTTTGACGTCACTTGACAGCAAAATAATTGAATTGAAATTATCCTAGCCTTGCATTCTTGGGAGTTATTTCAGTTACGTGAAACAATCTCCATGTTACGGTGGCATTTTGGCAGTAAATGCTTCTATTGTAAAAATAAATGGAAAACTATTTTGTTTTTAACACAGTGCCAGATGTCCGTGGTTTTACCTGCCATAAATCTGGTCACCACGTTTGTGATGTAAACAACTTCGGGGACCACTTTTATGAATTGGAAATTTTGAGTGATCTAAAACGTGCTCTAAAATCTCGTACGACCTCGAAAACTTCCGATTTATCAAGGTTTTTTTTTTCATAGTGCTTTTAAAACAACAGATTTTGGATCGATTCGCTATTGTGAGAATATTCTTTGTTACTTTTAATTGGTTATCAGTCTCTTTTCGGTTGTCAGAGCAAATAAACGTCACACAATCACGAATCAATGACCCTCCGATCCATATATCTAATCTCGAGTGTACAGCTGTACGTGACGTCACAGTCGCTACCCCCTCCCTTTGCGGCCGTAACGGTTAAGACAGGTGGTGCGATTCTTCCCCATATCTCCCCTACGCGCTAGGGCTGGCCAATCGGCGCACGTCTAAAAAACGGTTTCGTCGCCGCGATCCGAATGCCAAGCAGCCGCAAACTCTTAAGAAATTGATAATGAGACAATTTATATTTAAATTATAATTTGATTCCCTAGAGAAGTAAACGAATCGGCAACAAAGAGTTGAGTAAAAGCTCTGGGAATACGAGACACTCACTGGGTGCAGATTGCGTGAACTAAATAACTGGTTTCATGCAAGTTCTGAGAACTCGACTAATTAATAAAATATTTTATAGTTTATTGGTTCCGCTCCCGGGAGAAATTGTTGCACATGTTTTGCGCCGCCGTCGACGTAAGCAATTAGGGACCCATTCACGTCGTCAATTAGGAAGAGGTTCGATTTATGCGTCCCAGCCGAAATTCGGTGGAAAGTCGCGAAAACGCGAACAATAACAGCGTTATGTCACAGGTTAATTAGTATGCGTTCTCACCGATCGTTGAAATCTTTCGGCGAAAATAAACGCGCAAGCTTTTCACACACAACAGCGCGGAAATACAACCTGTTCGTTACAGTTAGCAGTGCACGTCATCTTATAAACCTGGTTAATTATCCCGATCTTATTCAATTAAGATCGAGCGCGAACGAGGAAATTACGAGGTGGCGGCGAGCGAAGCGAGCCAAAAAAATTCAAGCTAGTTTGGGTACGGATATCGGAGATTTGTTCCTGGCAATGTATGCTTTGGATTGTTACACAAATTTGCTGTTTCGGATGATAAGAAATGGATGTTTACGTTGAGGTTGTGGTTTTAAAACTTGCTTTGCCATTATTTATATTTACTTATCAGTGGGGAGGAAATAAATGCAATGATGTTACGGACTGTAAATAGAAGGAAAGCAAATAACGAGTAAAATGGTAAATATAAGTCAAATATAATAGTGCACTTTAAAAAGTTATCTGCTCGGTTTGGTGATTTAAAAAGTCGGTATTTGCATAATTTATTTGTCATGTGTTGATAAAATAGAAAAGATACCGTTTCTCGGAAGATTTATTTGTCCTCTCCAGAATGTTGGTGATGTCATCAGGAGAAATTGTTAAATGTGACCGATTTTTTTTTATCTATTATTGTATCTGAATTTGGGGCAACATGATATTATTGTTATATAGATAAGGCAATTTAAACTTTAAACGCGTTTTTACTGGGACGGATGACCTTTATAGCTATATTTTTTAAGCACGAGCGAAGGGAGTGTAATAAACGAGCGTCTAGAAAAGTTTATGAATACAATAATAACTATTGATTTTGTGAATTCTATTTTTTCAGACAACGGATATGCATTAACATAAAAAACTCTGGCGGTTTGCTAATGTTAACAGTAGATGGTAATATTGATCAGCATGTACTTAATAGTATGTACTCATTTTTATAAATTATAGCCATTTATTATTATGTATACGTGCTTAATAGTCGAATTCGTTCGAAGCATAAATATACAGTTATATACTTTAACAGTTTAAACATCTTTGCTTTTAACTTTTAGCGGTTATAAAAAAAAATTTTTGTACTATTTTGGATGAATTTTTTTCCAAAAATCTAAATAGTGATAATAAAAATAAAGGAGGGATTCATAGACCACAGCTGTATATATACATATCTGTATAGTGACAAATTTGCAACGTTATATGTCTCTAGATGTATTAATCATTTACAAAAGCTCTGTATATTGTTAACGCAAATAAATTCACCCGAAGTCACTGTTGCCAAACCGGAACTAAATATGTAAAAATATGTATCTATACTTAAAATATTTATGACGTTAGAAGACAAAATATCAAAAAAGAACAAGTAAACACAGAGAATATTTAAAGTTATGTACAGATTTAATTTTGGTTTTATCAAACTTTGTGAACTTTCAACGGTTTCATCATTCAGGACGTAAGTTTTCGTAGTTTTTGTTTTTCACGAACATTCTGTTTCCTTATAAAAGAAAGATCCAAAGAGTGAGTTCGAATTTAGTCCTCGTGAGAAATGAGCTCGATTAAACGGATGTGAGAGTGAGAAAAAAAGCAACAAATTTTCACAGGAAGAATGAAAGGAGACAAAGAGGAAATGTAAAATTGTGAAATGAAAGTATGGGAATGCGAGGAAGAGAGCGAAATCATTAAAAAAGAGAAAATTAAAATATATTGGTCGTTTTTACTTGGTTTGGTCTGAAAATGTCAGATAAGAAACAGCTTCCACTATCAGATGTTCGATAAGTTCCAGAACTGTCGTCCTTGCTAGTATTTTGAAAGCAACCGACTATCTGAAAAATGCTAATTAAATTTCTACGTTAATAAAAATTCTACTTGCTCGTTAGTTTGATCATTTTGATCCTCCTAATTATTATTTTTGTTGTTAGCATACTCTGCATCAGATAATTCAATGCTACCACGTAACCATTACACAACTCGAGTTTTGTAAGATGTGTAGCTGCCTTATCTTATTCATTCTTAATTAACCAAAAAAGCGCACCGAGTCCATCCATCACACTCACTCCCCCGACCTTCCAAAAGCCGAAAACACCCATCCGACCCAACGCAATAATCGCTATAATTAAACCCATACCGTACTCGCTCCTTCCCCGTTAATAACAACTCTTAATTCCCCAATAATTACGTTCAATCAAGACCGGAGCATGCCCTGATCTCATTTAATGTTTCTACATCGCGTCAAAACTCGAACCACAACAACTTTACGAATTTCGTGCCGTTCGGAATTGAACATGATTATATAAGTGACCTAGAATTGACACATCCCGGATGAATTCATTACTCCGTTCCATGGCGTGTTGCCGAGAGTTTCTGACACTTATACCGACCGGGATTAACGTCAATTGACCGGCTTGCGTACATTTTCAATTTCGCTTAATCCATGTTATTGTCGGGCGTTCGAATCAACGACTGTTTAAATTTAACCATCCGTTAATTAAGCCTCTTATCTACGCCCCCTTCTATCGATGCGTGACCGAAGTGCAGTGGGCGAGACTGTACAATTGAAATTTACTTTGTGCTCTTCGTTTTTTTCTATGTAAATAATAGGTTCGGTCGTTCTTCGCGAAGAAAGGCGCTCGGCGCAAGGGCGTGTCGCGTTGGAAGATGTGGGGTGTGTTGGCGGCGAACAGGCAGACAGACAGCGCGAAATAGCGAATACAGCGTCAAGAAATTTGAATATTTCATGTCTTGCTGGCGGCGATAAGGAGAATGATGATATTGAGTTTCCGGTAAAGGCGCAATTGCACGTCTGCGAATCGTACGAGCCGAGCTTGACAAATCGTGTAATCGGTACTTGCTGGTTGCTATATTATTAAAAGTGTTGTTAATTTTATGTTATATTCTTTGTTCTAGGGTTCGTTTCTTGTTCACCAAGTCCCTGCAAGAACGGCGGAACATGCATATCATCACCAAAAGGCGACTCCTTCTGCAAGTGAGTACACAGAAAAAAATATATCTGGGTTTCAAAATATACAGGGTGTATACGAATGTATATATATTTTATAGACAATTTTCAGTTTAATATCTCGACGATTTTAAAGTAATTAAAAAACTTTCTAACTTTGTCAAGGAAACGATTATTAAAAAAAAAAAATGTATAGTAAGAACGTTTAAGTGTATGTACGGGTTTTATGGCGCTGTAATGAAGGAAGTAGTATAAAAGTAATGTAATGTCTCAATATAACTCTAATAAACTAAAATTGTCCTTTTACAAAGCCATAAACTACACCTACACCAACACTCCCCTAGAGATGATGAAACCATAAAGCCGTTTAGTCTAACAATTTTACATAGTATTATTTGAGAATAATGAACCCAAAGAAATAATCGTTTTGTAAAATGTTACAATGGTATCTTTTAAATTAAGCCGTAAATGTCAAACCGATTATCACGAACAAGGAACGCGTTGGCCAACATATTTTTTTAACATTAAATTTCAGAGGTTGCTGGACGACTTTTTGCTCGATCACATAATTGGATCAGTTGAAATGTAAGACACGCAAAATTCATGTCAATAAAAATAAAATTGAATGCTAGAAATTTTAAAAATATTTAAACGGATATGGCTATATTAAAAAATATATATTATTTGTTATATTGAACACCCGTATAACCACTTTGAGGTTAAAGTTTGTCTAGAATGATAAGAATTTTATGGACTCCCAAAGTTAATTCGTTTTACAGCCCTGTTGTCAATTTTATTGTACAACTGAAGAGTGGGACGAACTCAGGTACAGTAAGCATCGGCTTTCCCCTGACAGGCTCTTTACCTGTACAATAGAATTGATGCCTGGGCTGTAAAACGAATTAACCTTGGGAGTCCATAAAATTCTTATAATTGTGGACAAACTTTACATGCTTTGATTACATTTTGTGTAAAATTTTATGATTTTTTTTTTTTTTTGTAAAACGTGACGACAGTAATATTAGAAGTGTAAAAATTTGTGAAAAAACTAACTATGTATTATAATTATTTGCAATAATAGGACAAAATCAGTTAGATTTGGTTTTTTAATTACACAAATGCATACTTTTTATGGTTTAAGTTTCCTGTTCTGAAAAGACTACGTATGTTACGAAAAAAATCAAAATATAAGCCCCGCCCACCCACCCTATCTCTATTGTGATGATTTTTTTTTAGTCGTCGAGAGCCAAAGAAGCGGAATTTAATTACAAAATCCATATTTCCTTAAAAAATTACTATTTTAAACGTGTTTCAAGTTTGCAAGAATAAAAAAAATCATTACAATTGAGATGGGGTGGGTGGGCGGGGTTTATATTTTGTTTGTTTTTAATATAGGTAATATTCTTTGAACAACGCGGTACTCAAAAACATGTTTATAATTTCTTGTAAAGAAATAAATATTTTGCAGTTAAGCTCCGTCCCTTTGGTTCACGGCGAATTAAAAAAATCATCACAATTGAGATAGGGCGGGTGGGCGGGCTTACATTTTGTCTGTTTGTTTTAATATTTGTAGACTTCTTTTCACAACATGAAGTTTAAATTGGAGAATTTGTATAAGGAAAGATCGATTTTGCAATTAGACTCCGCCCCATAATTGCAACATTCATATTTCCTTGCAAAAATGTACCTTTTGAACCATTTTTTAAGTTTCTTGTTGGGAAAAGATGGCTATGTAAATTAAGAAAAAAACGACAAAATATAAGCCCCGCCCACCCGCCCTATCTCTATTCTGGTGATTTTTTTATTCGTCGTAAATCGAAAGGAGGAGTTTAATTGTAAAATTGTTTTTTTTCTATGAGAAATTACCATGGGAAATACCGTTTTAAGTAATCGTGTTATACAAAGAAAACCAAATGTGTTAAAAAAAGAGAGAATTTTTTTTAACGAATTTTTCATTCGTAGTCAGATCGATATTTTCCTATACAAATTTACCATTTTAACCTCAAAATTTTGCATGGTAAATACCACTTCAATGTTATAAAATAACGTACTCTTGGACTTACCTTATTTTTAACCTCAGGCTTTCGCAAAAAATGTAAATCGCGTAATAAGATTGAACATTCAACCGAAATTAAAAGTTAAACATTTTTATTGTAAAACGTGGCGATATTTTTGAAGGAATACTATATTAGAAGTGTAAAAAATTGACTCCCATGTTATCAGTACTAATGAGTTCATCCTGTAGATTTAGAAATATTTTTTAAATGTTTGTTGTTTGGTTGCGTAAACGACCTGTATGTAGATACGACATAGTATGTTAATTTTTAATGCGAAATTATGTAATCATTGAATTAATTTTGTTTTTCAGTGTAAAATAAAGAAACGAAAAAAAAATTTACTCAGAAATTTCCCAGAACAACATCGCATGCGTGTGATCATGTTGTAAAATGACCTTTTTTTGGTGGGAATAATGGAACACTATTTATAACGTAACTGTATTTCCAAAAATTCTAAGACTAAATTGAACTTTTTTAAAACAGTTGATATAATAAAGGCGTACTATTTATTTATTTATTATTATTATAGTAAACGCATACACTTTTAATTTAATAATTTTTTGGATGACGTCACTAATTTTTTGAAGGGGATAGGAATTATTATTCCGTAAATTCCTGACTATTGACTGATTTAAATAAAATACGAAATTAACTTTATTTGTTGTATATTTTTATGATTACTTTTATACATGATGATCCAAAAAAGGCACGTCGTTAAGAAGTCTCTAAAGAATTCGAAAAAAAATCGTTTAAAAAATCCCTGAACAATTTTTTTTAAAATATCAAACTCCAAACATGGTCGCAGAAGCGTAATGTATAAACAAACCTTCCATAAAATTAAATGTTTATCCGACAGATCGTAAAACTTGAAACCCATCCCATATCCACAACAACGGCCCATTAATTTCATTACACCCAAATCTCCACTTGTCCGCATCCAATCAATTGTATTATCCTTCCGCATCCCCCCACAAACAATAAGGTCCACCGGGATCGTCGGGATCGCCGCATGTGCGCCCTTAATCATCATATTGTTCAATATCCGATGAAAAGCCCTCGTGACATCGTAACCTTTTTTTCTTTAATCCAAAGGGTGTTCTGTTTGTTCACTTGCACACATGTTCACACTGAAAAAACGCTTCATCAAACATGTGGTACAATCGTCACATGGCGCTCTTTCCTTGGAAAAGCATCGCTTTTGTGACGTTTAAAACATGGACGTTTTTTCGTTTTATCACGTCAAAGTGTTGCAATTAGGAATGATTATTATCCATTAAGCGTAGAGTTCAGGTAGCTGCTATGACTTGCAGGTTCTTCACGCTTGAAACAAAAGATACCGATCGCTTATCACGTTTTCTTAGGCTCTTCAACTTTGTTTTTATCGGGGAATTAATTGCTAATTGTGTGGAAGCGGCGAGTTGGGGCGTAAGTGCACTTAATTGAAAAGCGACCGAATTCTGTTTATTTGGTTTGATGGAAATGTGACGAGGACGAGACGGAAGAAGAAAAACTGTTTGACGTGGTGTTGTTTGTTTGGGATTTTGCTTGCACTTGAGTTCGGAGAGTGAAGCTGTTTGGAATTCCGGAGGTTCTGACACCTCGACACATGTTGCTGCCACTATTTTTTAATCAATTTGTTTTAAAAATTTACGACTGCGACTATAGTTGTCTTCACAGAAATATCTACAGGTGTTTTTAATTCCATTCCGTTCAAACCTCAACAGTTGGCATGACTTTTGAGAAACTCTATACATTTTTAAGTGTAGTTATTCGCATTATACTCCTCTGTATGTATAATTTTACAAACACTATAATGAAAGCCTAATTCTATAGTAGTTCCACAATGCAAATGATTGTATGATCAGACGTCTTAATAACACTTCAGCCATCAAACACTTCGTTCCATATGCGAAACAGATGCTGAAATTTATTATGTAAGGAATAAAACGAGGTCTCTTTTGTTAAAGCAAAATTATTAATCCCGAATGTTCTAGCATATGTATTCTTCAAGAACCAAGTTGTATTTTTTTGCCAAACTAGTTCCACATCAACCCCTAGATGTCGTTTCTCTTCACAACCATCAAATTCTAGACCCACCAATTCAGACTTCTTCCATAAATCCTCTCCACCTGTCGACCCATCATCCATTCTCGGTACCAGTGACTCACTCTATAATTACCACAGCAATTTCCTCTCCGAAAATTTCAAGCAGACTCGCTGTGTCACTCCATCTCTTAAATCAATCGTTCCATGCTGGAAACGCACAGGTATAATGGGTCGAGTCGAACGTGGGCAGGATGGGTTATCTATTATCTGGTACCGTGGCATCGCTCGGAGCACGAGCGGCACACCCAGCGCCTCTCTCTTCCACAGGATTTTTTCCCTAATATGACATGTTGCACGTTTCGTTCGACGAAAAACATGTGCCCCTCTGTCCCGGGGGAAAAAACTCGGGCAAAAAACGAGCACTACGCCCGACCCAGGAGCGGCAACGTCGCACAACATGCTCGAAAGTGGATTGCACTCGACCGATTCGCCGTCTCGCTCTCGCACGTTGAGATGTTTATGTAGGAAAGCGGAAATAACGTGGAGAAGTTTGTGAACATTGTATGAGCGTTCCCACGAAATGAATCCGCTTCTGGCAATGCTGCAAAAAGGATCTACCACGCGATATCTTCATTTCGTGTGTGCGCGCTGGATGGACGACCTTCGAAGCGAAGAATTTGGTAATGAGGGACTGGAACGGAGGGAAAGGGAGCAAAAGGTTGCGGCAGATCTGAGCGGGCTTCGGGCTTGTGGTAGTGTTGTTGGTGATGGTTCTTCACAGAGCGGGACAGAACCATCAAGGAATGTCTTTTTCTTTCTTTCATCGAACTGATTTTTGTCAAAGTACTACAACTACTGTGTTCACCATGTGGTGGTTCATGGTACCTAAGGTTATTCTTGAAATTAAAATCTAAAGTACTATTG